GAATCTTTACAAAACTTTGAATTTTTTGAAATACTTGGGATGTTCTGGCCCAGGAATAGATTACATTAGCTGTATTTGGCAAAACATTTCGGAATGTTAAGTCCTCAATGCTCTTAAACTTTATCTGACCTTTTAACTTTTTTATCTGAGCGTCACAGATGAGTCTTTTGTAGATGAAACGTGCATCTGGCGTAAAAATTGTAAGCTTTGTATATTTCATGGTGTTTTTTTAATGAAATAAATAAAAATCGGCGTGCCTCGCTATTCGTCCTGTTCTTATAGTTCGATTAATCAAATTATGTATATCCTTACAATACGTTTATTGATATTCAGAATTTTATTTTGGCAAGTTGCTAGAAATTTAGATTTTACTTTACAAATTACCAAACACATTAAAATCCTCCTGATGAATGAATTTAAATGTATGTAAGCAGGGGACAAAAATTAACTCAATTGTACCATGCCATGATACAGTTATCCAATTTATTTATTTTATTATCGCTTTTTCATGAATAAATAATACAGTTTAGTTAGATAAGAACAACAATTTCATGACATGCTTACATGAAACGTTTTAAGGTTTCAGACTGTGGGGAATCTTTTGATGAACTTTAGTTGTACTTTAGAAAAAATCAGTTTCCACACTAACCTTTAAAAAAGAAACATCTCTCAATGAAGTAAATAGAAAGTCTCAACACCATCACAGAGACAGAATTGTTATTGAAAACACCTGTCATATTCCTAACTTGTTGCAGGCATTTTCCAAGAAAATGGGGAGTTAAACTTGTCTTATAGTTCGATAAACCTATATGACAGTTGTTTATAGTTCCGTTATATAGAAAATAACTTTTGAATGTCATGCGTCCGATGCGCTTTTCTGGAGAACGTTGAGAGCTATATAATCAAAAAGGACCAAACAAAAGAAGAATAGCCTTTTTCATCTACGGTCAATATGCCTCAGAGAGTTTAAACCTTTGTTTCTTAGTAATTTCTTAAGTAGATATAAATCATGGCAGTACCGAAACACTGGTTCCTGAGCTGGTGTAAAAAAGATAATTGAGTAAAGTGAATTCCTTTTTAGAACAGTGTTTCATTTTAATAGTTTACTACATGTGAAATATATGTACACCATAAAACACTAAAAACTTGTCCTGTCTATATTCCTAAACTGTATGAGATTTAAAATTTTATTTAAGATTTTAGCTTTACCTTTTGATATTATATGATTTTAAAATCTAAAATAGGGAATAGTTAAATTTTAAAACATTACTCAATGATCAGTTTGATATTTTAAGTAGTTTTATTTTTTAAGTTGTTTTATTTAATAGAAACGCTATCGTGTCCTGTTTCTGAAATCTGATCTTGGCGAATATATAGATTCCAGTTACTGCAGTTATTGCTTTTATAAGTTATTATATATATAGCTTCAAATTTGAAATTAAAACTATACTATTAGTGGATTAGTGAATAAATATTTATGCTATTTATAAATATCTGTGCTTTAGAAAATAAAACAAATGTTAGTAATTAATCACATGTGACATTAGCCAGAGTTCTGTAGAGATAGATTCCATATACGGAGAGTGATTGTGAACAGGTATTCCCTTATTTACTCACTTTTCAGTAATCGTGCATTTTCATAGATCGATGTATCCACAAACGTGATACAAGACGTTTGGGTGATTCCCTTCGTATAACAGATTGCAATTGACTTGATATTTGGTATGAGACAGTTTCTTTTTCTTTGCAGATATGATTCGACCTTGTGCAATATGTGGAGTTCTTGAATCTCTATTTAAGTATGTAAGGGGCTGGTTGTAATATTCAATAGCTAGTTTTAGTTATTGATCTATCTCCCTGTAACTTGTTTTATCATATGTAGTATATTGTTTCCCTTGATATTGATTTCACGATAGACCGAGAAATATTAGCACCAAATAAATATAACATTGGCAGTTTGATTTGGGCTGATATTGTTATTTTTCACAATCATATAATCTGATAATAATTGTTCTGTGACTTGGTATTGATATTTTATTATTTATAATATTTGAATATTTCCCTCTCCTTGTATGTTACATTATACGGTCATTTTTATATTTTATAAATTTACTGTTTGCAAAAATATGAATTATTCTAAATACTAAATATTTTCTTATCCCAGGCAGATAACCTAGCCGTATTTGGCACAACTTTTTGGAATTTTGGGTCATCATTGCTCTTCATCTTTAGGCCTGGCACCTTTGATAACTATTAGCTTGTCGTAATGTTCTATTGTATTGTTTATTTGTATGTTTCTCTGTCCTGTATGTTCTTCCATTTATTTGTATTGTAGTCCTGTCATGTAATGTTGTCATTTTAGTGTTATATTTAGCATTGTCATTAAAGTGGGAGGTTTGGCTAGCCACAAAACCAGGTTCAACCCACCATTTTTTCTTAAAATGTCCTGTACCAAGTCAGGAAAATAGCTATTTTTATCTTATAGTTCGTTTCTGTGTATGTTGCATTTTAGTGTTTCTGTTGTGTCTTTGTTCTCCTCCTATATTTAATGTGTTTCCCTCAGTTTTAGTTTGTAACCCGGATTTGTTTTTTCTCAATCGATTTATGAATTTCGAAAAGCGGAATACTACTGTTGCCGTTATTTACAATATATAAAACTGAGTTTCAAATCCCATGTTATATACTGGACGTATCATTGGGAAATCCCTTTTCTGCATTTATATAGGTTCAACTATTTTCAGTGACAATGAACTTGAGCTATTGACCTTAGAACTATTGGGATCTTCTTCTCATTATATGTGACCATACATGGAAGTTTGGTTTCAATGCCATATAAGGTTCCGATGTTATCAGGAGACCTCTTTAATGCAATATTCAATGTCAGCCTATCGTACGTTGCACGTCTGTAAAAATAGACAATGCAATTTCCCATAGAAACTCCTTTTACGGGTAAAACTATTCCACTTTTACTATGAAGTTTCGTAAAATATATCCTATAATGGAAAGTTCATATGCACTACATTTTTTTTCAAAGGTCAAAACATAGGGCTGTGCGGCATATTTTCAACATTGATATGCCTCTAACTTATAAGTGTATAAACTTGTAGTAAAATTCTGTACTACCCCTCCCTTCACTTTAGGTCTTCCTCAGAATTCAATTTGGCCGCTATTCGTGTGTATTTATACTTGTGAAATTCCCAAGTTGTGTCTCTTTGAGATGAAACATAGAGATCATATATGGGAACCAGTAGGTAAACAAAACAAAATATCTATGATTATTATATATCTCCCCAAAAGAGGCGTGGTTTGTGAAACAGAAGCTTATTTACAAAGTGCAACCTGTAAGTAGCTATAACCTTGCCCTTGGAACCAATGATCTCAAATTCAGTAAGGATTCTTTTCTTTTATGTGACCATGTATTGGAAAAGAAGGAATATGGTGTATTAATTCATAACACAAAATTACAACATATACATACAGAGGTCCAAACAAGCATGCATACTGGTGGACTGTTAGTCCCCGAGGGTATCATCAGCTCAGTAGTCAGTACTTCGGTCCTGACATGATTTATAACAAACTTTCTAAAATTGTCCGTTTATAAATTTTGACATTTTAAAGAAACTGAGGTTTCAACTCCCTCAGGCAAAGTTGACCTTAGATGAATTTGGCTATTTTTAGGTACTTTTGGTCATATAGCTCTTCAACTGTTTCGGTTCTTATACATCCTTGGCTTTCAAATATTCGACTTTGAGCGTTCCTGATGAAGGTAAATCCAGAAAAGCGATTCGGACGCATTAAATTAATAACGTGTTTTAATTTTTTTGCATTGCTAAATAATGTCAAGTTCTAAAGTAATTATCAAGTTACCCCTTTTCTTTATATATTTTCAGTCATTTTTATTTTTAGTAATAATGACCTTCGACAAAGTGATCTCAAAATGAATAAGACTCTTCAACTAATTATATGTGACCATACATTTTTGTTTGGTTCCAATCACATGTAAGGTTCTAAAGTTATAATTTGGAAACTCTTTTCCTGCTGTCATTCCAACAAATATTTTCAAGGGTGATGAGCTGTAACGTTTGGATCTGTCTGATACCTACTTCTTATATTTAAAAATAAGAAGATGTGGTATTATTGCCAATGAGACAACTCTCCACAAGAGACCAAATGACACAGAATTTAACAACTATAGGTCACCGTACGGCCTTCAACAATAAGTAAAACCCATACCGCATAATCAGCTATAAAGGCCCCAAAATGACAAATGTAAAACAATTCAAATGAGAAAACAAACGGCCTGATTTATGTACAAAATAATGAACGAAAAACAAATATGATATATAGCAACAAACGACAACCACTGAATTAGACTCCTGACTTTAGACAGGCACATACAGAATGTGGCGAAGTTAAACATGTTAGAGGCGCCAACCCTCCCTCTAGCCTGGGACAGTAGTGTTACTGTAAAATGTCTATCTATTTTTGCAAAGAATTCCGCTCATGAAGAACAGCAATAAAAGTGCTGTTCCTTTGCTTTTTGTGTGTTTTTTTTGGTGTGTATGTACTGATTTTGTGTAATGGATGAATATCCTATATCCTTTGTTTTTCTTTATACATTTTGTGCGTCTGAAGCACTTTTCTGGATTTACCTTCATCAGGAACACTTCAACTTAAACATCAGAATGCAAGGGATACAATATAAGAGCTGCCTCTGATAGAAATCAACCTTGTGCAAATAAATATCAATACATCTGTTAACTTATTTTGGGTTGCATAACATCTCTATGCAAATTCTGTTACTGTTTGAAAATTGTGATGATAAAAGAACTCAACAAAACAGAACTAAATTCATCTTTAATTTCGTTTTTGAATGTTCTGAAATCAATCAAAGTCTTATACATGTACATGTATACATACACTTGCATAAGGTTGATTTCTATCTGACGCAGCTCATATGTTGCCGTCTCCTTGGTAACCAGTTATAATTAACAACATAATTTATAAATAGACTACACAGTCCATATTTTATTTCAATTTTTAAAACAATCCATAAACCGTTTTTTTTTTGTAAAGAAAACAAATTTTTCAACAGTCATGATAGATAAAATTTAATTACATATAACAACATTTCTGTAATGGATTTCTATGCAATTATGCTATAAGATTAAGTCATAAACTTAAATATAACAAATAAGGTCAATCTGAGTCATGTAAATGTTTTATATAGTAAATGTAATACACGGCTGTTATAGTACAAATCTGTTGTCTATAATACAAATGTGTTGGCTAAATGGTTTTGTATACGTGCATTTTAATGCATCAAATAATTTTGTGGTCATTGATTAATGAGATGCTTCATTTAGATCTCATATCAGTAGAAAATACAAATAATGTTAAGGAATTCTAAAGTATCTGATCTGAAAATGTCTCATAAATAAAAAGTTAGAACTCATTATTAAAAAGTATTTTATATTATCAAAAATAATTAATTTTCAAATCCAATTTAATACTTCAACCTTAAGATGAACAAATATTCAAACCATTTTGTTTTCGACAACTCACTTAGTTTGAAATTCTAAGAAACTTTGAATTTAGTTAAATCAATACAACTTCCATCCACATTAAAAATATCTTATTTAGAAATGACTGCCTTTCATTTTCATGTAAAATTAAGGAATTGTTTTAATGTGTAATATACATAGCAATTATAGTAGAAAAGCAGTTTTAGTTCATTAATTTATCAACTAAACTACACAATGTAAATATGCAAATGAGAACATGCAGTGCAATTTTCCGTATCCATTTGTCGATTCATCTGCTTATTACATGTATTTGAAGTTTAGTTAAATCACATTGCATATTTTTAAAAACAAAACTAACTAAAACACAATGAATTTCCAAAAAAAAATAATCAGAAAATGGTTCATAATAGCAATCATATTTGAATTCATGAAAAACTTCAAAAAATTTATTTCATATTGGATATACATTTTTGTATGTTATAAATCAAATATGAGAATTTTAGTCAAATCGGTGAACATGAATTTGACAACTAATGGCCCTTAATGTTAAAGCACATGAAAAAAAAATTGGTTATGAAATAATCATAAAGCAACAGGGTCCATCATAAAATTTTAACAAAATTCTCCAGTACCTTGTGAAACTGTTTGAAATATTCTTTTACTTTAAGTAAAAAGCATATGCCATTCACAACAGGAATTTAAAAACTAATCATGACTGCTTAAAGATAGGTGAAAGGTGAAGCAATTATGATTGATGAGATATAACACTTGATAAAATCTGAATAGTTCTGACCAGTTGCAAGCATATATTCTTTTACTACTACAGTTTTCATTCTATAATTAACATTTGACATGTTGATTTGAACATTTTTGTGTGCAAACATATCATACAAATGATGTTTATGGTTTAAATAATTATTTACACTGTCAAAAAATTAAATGTTTAAATCAAAATCGAAAAATTAGTGTATTGCCCTGATTCTACAAATTAATCATATAACAGCTGCCTTGAATGCACAAACATAATTCAGCTATTACCATTCACACATACATGTTCACTACTGATGTTAAAAATTATGTTAAGACTTAATATTCAGTAATTTTAGGTCTAAAAAAATCAATGGAAGAGTGCTTGCATTACTTCCCTTGAATAACAAGTTTTTGTTTAAATGTTGGAGCCATTACACTTACAAAATAAAATTTAATTAAATTCTAATTTACAGTATATTAATTATCATCTCACCTTGCTTATACCTTGTTTAATGTTTCCTTTCATTTATTAATAATGAAATGTTTTGAAATTAAAATTCATCTGCATCAAAAAATCAAATATCATGCTTAAGGTGGTACCTAACACTACAGGGAGATAACTTTGTAAAAATCAGCTAAACGTTTTAATTACGTTGTATTGTTAAGGAAATATTAAGCTTCTCAATGATCAAAATTAGTGTTTGTCAAACTGCTATATAACCAATGAAATTTTTCTGATAAAGTGGTTGGTTCAAATTTTTTGAAATTTTTATATTTTTGTCAAAGGGTCAAAGTAAACATTTTGTCAAAATTTTATGAAAATTAAACGAGCCAAATTAATATTAGTCAAGGTGTTGGGTACCACCTTAAACTGTTGTACCTTTTTAATATTTTTTTCTTCTATGTTGTCAATTCAATGTATGCATTTCAGAACTGATTTAAAAGGGTATAAAATTTTCTCTGCAAAACATTGTAATCCTCTCATAAGGACAATTTTTCACTAAATTGTGGCATAAGCATGCATAGAACTTTATAATAAAATCTTTGATACATTCTTTCAATAAATCGGAACAAAAGCTAATTTAATGTTGAACAGCTCAATATTATTATACGTTGAAAACAATATTAGATATGTAATTTACAATTTCTGTTTGGGCTATTCGATTAAAATGGAAGGAGGATAGAAAAAAACTTTTGAAACTCCCAACAACCTGCATACGTTGAGTAATTGTACATACTTCATATTTCTAAAAATAAATATTTTCTCCCTACCCTTTCAAACTCATACACAAGCCAAAAAATTATCATACCACATCTAATTTTTATGCTAATAAAGTTGTGTTGTTTTATATGATCACTATATCAGTATAAAAATAATTCAATTTATACCCTGTATAAGAAAGCACTTGTAATATCAACCAATCACAAGAAATGTACATTTGTATTTCAACAACTGATTTTGTATTTAACTTAAATCAATTTTGCTCAATATTGGTGGACTCAACTACGAAGTATATAAAATATGTTTATCATTATCAGCAGGATTAACATTAACTATTCACATATTTTCAGTTTAACTGAAAAACAGATCTATTAGGATAGTAAAAAGTTGATTAGAACATACTAACATGTACATTTTCTTCTTCCGTACATACCTGGTTAAGCCAAGCCAATACAAATACAATGAAAATTGTATATGCCATTCAAATATGAGCAAGCACATTTTTAACTGTTGAAAAGCTCACTTGTTTTAAAATATATATTGAGAGAAAGCATATTTACAAAAGACTTATAAAGGTTCATTAATTTTCTCCCTTTTTCTGGGAATGTTTTTTAGGCCAACTTGGTAGACGAAATTTTTACATCAATTATTGAGAAATAAAGATACAAGATGTGCAGTGTAGTAATTGATTTTAAAATCAAAATTAAAAAATCCTTCTTGGATAAAATTGCATTAAAAATAAAGTTTTCATACAAAATACAAGCTGACTTAGTTATTTATATTTTCTAAATCATGATATAAAACCGGGTTTATATGACAGACACTGATCTAAATTTAATGAAAATAAATAGCAACCTGTATCACAACAATTTAAAGAAATTTAACAGAATAATAAAAACCACTTCAAATAATAAACTATATGATCATTTATTAATTCAATTTAATAGTTTTATCGAAATTGTTTGATTTCATAATCCATACGAATACAGTATGCATATCAAACTAATGCTTTTCTTTTTTATAAAACAAATTAACCATTTCCTTTTATTCATCTTTAATGCCCTATAGTCTTCTTAAAACATTTACAACTGAAAATTGCTATAGTAAAGGAGCAACTTTACATGAAAGCAAAAGTCTTTTATTAGAATTTTTCACATGGTAACCTGTTTCATACAGCAATGGTAAATCTTGTAACATTTCATTGAATTTCAGTGCAACAATAAAATCATGTATAAACATTTTAAGGTGTGATTTCTCTGTAAAATATTGTGTCCCTTTGTTAAAAAGTTCTCTGACCAATTATTTCAATAATATTAAAATATAAATAAAAGGTCTTCTCAAAGTTTAAAAGGTGTAAGGAAGTAACTTTCAAAGTCTATAATAAATCTTTGCTCCCCAAAGTGAAAGTTATTAATAAACAAACTACTTTTTTACTGTACAAACAAGGTCAATAACTAAATATATATGACAAAAGTCACACATCTGGACCATGAATTTGCCAAAAAACCCAAATATTTCAAATTTTTCAAAAGTGTGTTATTTTACTGATAAATGATAACATTTCAGTCACTTTTGTATAAGAATGGCATTTGAACTTACACTATGACATTTATCAACATATTTGACCTAAAAGATATTTGACACATATCAATATCATTGTCTGAGAAATATTGTTCAGGTAAAGCTCAACTATAAAAATATCTTAACTTTAATGAGTTTTTCAGAATAAAATAAATGGACTTATTCTTGTATGGAGGGAGTCTGAAAATGTAAAGGTAGAAGATATGTCATGCCAATATTATTGTTTGAGAAATATTGAAAAGTATCAAAATATAATGTTAAACTAATCATATAGGAAAGAATTGCACAAGTGAAATCAAGAAATAAAAAAAAAACAAACATTAAAAGATGATTGTCTATAAGACATCCAAGAATTGACATGCCAGCATGTCTTGAGCACTTTAAAGTCACAAATATTACATAATATAAATAAATATACAAATAAAATATACAACTATAAAAGCATTATAAAAGTTTTGTTCACAATCAAAGTTAAAAAGCTTTTTCTACAAGTGAAAGCATAAATTTTCTAAAAGTTTGTTGCAACTTCACAACAAGCTGTTCTTATCAGAAGATGCTGTTATTTGACAAAGATTTGAGTTTAAAAGTATATATTCACAAAACAGTGTAAATGTAGTAATTACCTATTCATCTCATTACAACAATGGACAGATTTTACATATATGCTATTATCTGAATAGGACAAAAGAACGAGTAAATTTGTTCTGAATGGACGGATCTCAACAGATAAATTACAATACATAATTTTCTGTTTCAGAACCCTGAGTTCTATAAACTATTCATCTTAAATCTGAAAAAAATTCTTTCAGTAAAACACAACTTTAATCATTCATCCCAATAGGAATGTGTCTTTGTAGCAAGTATTTACAAAGCTAATGTACACAACGGTTTTGATAATTGAAATTCAGCAGTATCGGTTGAACCTTTTAACAGGAATTTAATAATGGAAAAAGGGCACTAATGACCTTATACAGTACCTAAAATGGCAAAATTTTCAAAACATTTTGTTACAAAACATCGAACACTTTTCATAATATTTGATTTTTTTTTTATATTTTCACATGTAGAAAGTTTTCATGGCAACACAAAGAACCATAAAATAATATTTGTTTATTGTCTTCAAATGTTTTACTATTTTTGTACCATTTTGGGTTAAAAAAATGTCCCCTCATATTAGAAACAACTTTATTTTTGGGTATACAATACAGCATTTTAACAACAATTTAAATATTATCTTGGAAATTTTTGCTATTACCCCATTCAAGAGGGAATTTGTTGTTACCCCAACCTAGAGGGAATTTGTTGTTACCCTAATCCAGAGGGAATTATCCAAAATTAGCTCAATTTGTACTTGAAAATCATAATGGTTTGAAATTTAAAAAAATCAGCCATAACACCTTTTATATATTCCATATTTGATATTTGAAATTTAACCATTTTTTGGGCCTATACGTAATTTTATTACCTTTATCTTTTTATAACCAATTTTTAATCTTCCTATAGATCCATTTCACGTCTTAAAAATTTAAATCCAGTAGCCTTATTCATTTATCATGAAATATTATATTGACAGATTTTAAAAAGCATTATAAAGGTGTACTTAAAATAAGTTTTCAATGATATTGAAAGTACATTACATAAATGGGAACAAAAAGTCATGAGATCATATAACGATCTTATAATTTTCATTGACATATGGGACTAAATGAAACAGTCAAACTTCTTTCACCTGAAATCATACATCTTGTTTTCACATATTTAATAAATTAATAATAAAATAAAATATCTAACAAAAAATCCATAACAAAACAAAAATCATTAATGAGAGTTGGGACATGAAGTTTCTGACATTTTGTGCCCTAAAGTCATGTGATACATTGACAACATGTCAGATGATAAGTCATGTGATGATAATATGACAATAACAATCACAACAATTTATCCCAATCAATTTCTTCATCATCAAGTTCTTCTTTACCAATGTAAGGTGCAGATTGTGTAGGCTGGACGATAACGGCTTGATTTGATGCTGGACTAAAACCCTGAAAAAATTAAATACCCCAATTATTACCATTTACAGATTGTAACATCAAGGGAGACAATGCCAACAATGTTTTAATCAAATGTTCAGAAACATTCCAAAAAATACAACTTTTATTGAAGGCATGTTTTTGATGCAATAATAATAAAAAACGGAAAAGTACCATAGTATTTAACCAAGTTGCTTGCATAAAATTTTTTGACAAGATAACATGTAAATGGTTAAATGTATCATATGCTTAATTTCATTTTTTGTGAGTAAAATACATATGCATGTATGTTATGTGTATATTTTATTTTATAGGTTATATTGCCACTTATGGTATGTTTAAGAATATATCAAAAGAAGAGTACATCAAAATTTAAAGACTTTAAGAATAAATATATCTATGCAATCTTTTGATCTCAAAACATTGGTAAATATTCCTAATATTTGAAAGGCCTTGCTTTTAAATGCACATTACTTTTATTTTTGCAGCCAAATGTGACTCTTTCCTTTGAAGCCCTATTAAAAAAACATGTCCTTCATATAAATACTAAAGAAGTCATCAAACTTTCTGCTAATGATCTGGGACTTATTTGTGGACTGTTAACCCACCATTCATATAAACTGTTAACACAGAGATATGTCTCGCCTATTTGTTATTTTGATAATGCAAATGTTGAAATTAAAATAGCAATACTTTAACATGTAAGTTATGCAAATATTCAAAGTCAATGAACCATGACTGAAGGTACAGGGCTAAACAATCTCCATGGAAATAAGATGTGCCAATGCTATTACAACTGCAAACCAAATACCATTGACTTTTCACAAGTCGTTCCCTTTAAACAAACCTAAACACAAACATTAACTTGTAAACTATGTTAAAGTTTCAAAGTCAATGAACCATAGTTAGGGGGTGGGGTTATATAATCTCCATGGAAATGAAACTTGCAAATGCCAATACATTTGCATACCAAATATCATTGACTGAACATTAGTGGTTCATCTTAAACTGACCTAATCACAATCTAATACATGTAAACTAAGCAAAAGTTTCAAAGTCAATAGACCATGACTGAGGGGGCTGGGCCAAATAATCTCCATGGAAATGAGATATGCCAATGCTTATACAACTGCATACCAAATATCATTGACTTACCACTAGTGGTTCCCCGTAAACTGACCTAATCACAAACTAATACATGTAAACTAAGCAAAGTTTCAAAGTCAATAGACCTTGACTGAGGGAGCAGGGCCAAATAATCTCCATGGTAATGAGATGTGCCAATGCTAATACAACTGCATACCAAATATCATTGACCTACCACTAGTGGTTCACCTTGAACTAGACCTAATCACAAACTAATACATTGTTGACGCTTTTTGACTTCGTCAAGGCGAGACAAAAATAGTAAAAAAGTCATCAAATACTTACTGCTAATGATCTTGGACTAATTTGTGGGCTGACTGAGGATGGAGTGTCTGGTATGGTTAAATGTGATGCTGGACTTAATGATGGCAGTGTTGTGTTGTTATTAAACATCCCTGGATTATCTGAAATACAAAACAGATATTTTATAACAAATTATATCACTGAAGAACTTTTATATCTTGGATATCTATTATTTCAATGGAGATTTCTAGTTACTGAGGGTTACAAACAAAGCATTTACACCACAAAGACTAAATAATGTGTTCTAAAAAATTCATGATGCACTTGAAATGATCCGCAACATTCTTATAAGACTGTCCCAAGTCTGACGCCTGTAATCAGTTGTTGTCATTATTGCTGTCTGCGATTTTTTTTAAAAATTTGTTTTAGCATAGAACAGGCCAGGCGGTTGGTGATCTTGTTTAAATTGATTCACATTTAATCATGCCAGGGCCTTTAATAGCTGGCATACTATACAGTATGGGTTTTGCTCGTTGTTGTGGTACAGTGATATTTAGTTGCTTACATCCACGTCCACTGATCTCGGTGGATCACATCTCCATTTTTATATTAATTTAGTCTACCTTTGAGAATATGGTGATTTCAATATTGGAGACAGCAGAATATTTAACAAACTTCATAATTATTGTAAATCAACAATTAGCAGGATAAAGTTCAAGATTAAAACTTGAAGTACTGTTTTTAAAATGTTTAAAATAAATTTCTTTATGCACCAATGAAAAAATATATTATTTCCTACTTGCTTTCAATTTGATGTGATCAGTTTTTTTTTGTCATTTTACGTTGTTTTTTTTTATTCATATCTTATATATTTTGGAAAGGAATAAAACATTTCCCCCTCAATTTCTCATAATATAAGATAAAGTGTTTTAAGAATCATATTGAACCTTACACAATATAAGATTATGTTTTTATTCCTTTATTTCCTATTAAAAAAAAACTTATTTTAACTGGGATCTTGTGTAGTAGGTAATGATATAGAAGCTTAAATTTTGATATTTTCATATGTTTTTACTAGGAAAAAACATGGGATTTTAAGTGAAAAATAGAGGATTCCAGCTTAATTTTTTATTCTTTCATTTAAAACTATAAATCTCTGAATTAGAATAAAAATTTGCCTATTGGTTACTGAGTTGATCACAACAAAAATGTTATAAAAATATAATAGGATGATGTGCAGAATATCTGTGTGACTAATTAACATGCTAAAGGAAACTATTCTTGATAAAATAAATACCTATATGCAAAGGGAATTAACTGTTATTGTTCTTTCATGCATTTCTTTTTGTACGTTCATTCAATTATCACCACAAAAGAACATATCATTTGAGTTGCAGCTGATATTAAACTTAAATTTTAATATATTTTAACTCAAAAATGTTATATATTGTAAAAACTGTTGAATTTATTCACCAGCTTTGATGATGACTTAATTTCCTCAAATACAACTAGAACCATAGCCAAAAAGGGAAGTAATTTTTTTGACATTATAAAAAAAATATGTATCTGTCAGGTCTGGGTTTTTCTAATACAAAACTTATGTTATTTGTTTAAATATATATTTTATACACAGTTGAATGGTTCTTAAAGGTTCAGGTGTGTTAAGAGATATTTGCAAATTTTTTTTTTTTTCAGTACCAATTACACACTATGACTATTCTTTTCAATATTTCCTTAATGATTGTCTTTAACATTTTGCACAAAATTTAGCTTATTAACTGAGGACCCATGCAAATCAGTATAAGGCAAGCAATCTGAGGAAATTTTTTATCTCCCATGTTTTTCCTCTATAGGTAGATGACATTTCGATCATATGTCAGTGATATTGTTTGCCTCAAATTACCTCAGAAATACGGCTTTTTCCCCTAGAGAAAATTCCCAATTACTAAAAAAATTGGCATAAAATTCCTCCCAAAAAGTTATACATTTTCCCCAAAAGGTGATGGCATCTGGTAGTAATGTACGTAAATTTCATTTCATGTTTTTTTTTTTATATTATAAGTGCTTTTGAGATCCAGGTTTCTTATTAGAATCATTGCAGTGTTTCAATGTTTGGTTTTCAATGTATTAAGTACCGTCAATTTCTTTATTTCCTTCCCTTCCCCCAAAAGTTCCTTTCCGGTTGAAAATGTCTCACAATTCAAAATATTACGCGAAAAAAACTGTTTAAAAAAATTCCCAATTTCCCTACTTTTCCCAAAATAAAAGGGTAGAGGTAGTTCTGAAAAAAGACAACAATATCACTGTATGTTTAATAGGCAAATTAAGAGATTTTGTGTAGTTTTTCTTATATGTCTGTGGTAAAGAAATCTTACTTAAATTGGGATCTTGTGTTGTAGGTAATGGTATACCAGCTTGGTTAAAGAAGGTATTTAAAGATGATGCCAAATCTGAAAACTGCTCCGGACTCACTGACCAGTTCGTTTGGTCCAAGTTCTTCATGGAATCCATCAGACCTGTAAAAAAAAAGTTTTTTTTTTATTTTCAAACATATCATATGCTAAAGAGTGCTAAATAAATCATGAGAAAAGTCGTTAAATGTTTTTGAAAATGTGCACAGCGTAAATTTTTAATGAGTCTTTGTGGTACACTTGTTGTTGCCACAGGTTCTAATTTAATGACACTTCATAAACTGTAGAAAGACAAGATACTAGTTACTCTATGGTAAATGCCTTATGATGTCAACATGTTTCACCATTAGTGCTGCATCATCAGGACAATTTTACATAATGTGCTTTGATTGAAGTACAATAAGTGTTGATTGTTATTATCATGACATGATTTAATTGTTCAAAATAAAAGATGCCAAAAGTTCTATTTCATTTCAAAGATGAATCTAGAATAAAGAGTTCTCTTTGGCTATTTCCTAAGTATTTCTAAATAGCTTTTCTTATATTAATAACTATTTTACCTACCCTGAAACTGTGTTAAATCTATATTATTTAAGTCAAAGTTTCCTGAACCCGCCAGCCGTAAACTTTCCTTTAATACATCTACATTCTGCACCCAATCATTTATAGTAGTACTAGTACTGTTATCTACAAAATAAACAGGATTACACAAAAAATAGCCTATATAAATTTGAGAAAAAGTTTAATCACAAAAATACTGAACTCCGAGGAAAATTCAAAACGGAAAGTCCCTAATCAAATGGCAAAATCAAAAGCACAAACACATCAAACGAATTGACAACAACTGTTGAGGCATAACTCAAATTAAAGACAGCTTTCTTATTACTAACAACAAGACCAGGGTTTTTTAATTTTTTTGATTAACAGATTTTTGATGTGAAAGATTCACGTTGGTCAGTTGTGAATTTTTTTCTTTAAATATCTAAAAAGACATTTATATATTTAAAATTACTGTGTACTTCAGCTTTATTACAATATTGTACGTTCTACATTTTAGTCATTATTCCTTAAATTCAAGTACCAAACATTTGTTCTAGGTTGTTTTAAACATACAGTCCATGACATTGTCATGTCAGTTTGTAAAAAGAGGGGGCAATTGCATTCATAAACAGGAAATAAAAAAGAATAAAAACTGCTGAAAGATGTCTTCATTATGAAGAAGTAATCTAACAATATTAAAACATGATTGATAATTTATTACCAAACTTACTTTGGTGTGTATCAAACATAGATTTATAGAGACTTCTGAAAGAAGCACTGAGATCTTCAATTCCTCCATTCATAAATGGCATCTGATGTGTCGGCTGTTGTGTCTGATGTTGGACCTACAAGGTAAACATTTAAATCTATTTAGTATTTCAATCATAAAATGGAATGTTCATAAAATGAGGCACTTGATTTTCTCTCTTGAATTGTTTCACATTTTGCCATCTTTGGGTTGTTGATTTTCACTGTTGAATTGTTTCACATTTTGTCATCTCAAGGTTGTTTAAAGATTACTATATGGTATGAACTTATCACACTGTTGAAGGTCGAACGGTGACCTATAATTCCTTTGGTCTTTAATGGATAGTTGTTTCATTGACCATCATATCACACCACTTTATTTTAATATTTAATCCATTTTAACTTTGTGTGAATCCTTGGGTTCTAAGAAAATTATAACTAATGTTTGGATTGAGAATTTTAAGGATTAAACACATTTTTTATAGGTTATTAATTTCACAAACCTAGGCCACTGACTTATAAACTTTACATTAAAGTCATTAAGACTATTATTCAGTTTGTGAGTTGATCGCCTCAGATTACACATCTATAACCACTAGTTAAAATGTTTATCGGCAATTTGAACATTTTCCCTTTGATCTTACTGCCTAATATTTTTAAGATCATGGAAATGACTTGATACTCAAAAATATTTAGCAATGACGTCATGTATCAGTGAAGCAATGTCACATGCTCGTCCATCCGCATCATTTTATCAATGAAATGCACACGACTTCATTCTTACAACCGAACAACTATCTTGAGGTTTTGTACGCGTAAAAGTAGTTTTATTAATTAGTTCATTTTACTTCATATTCTCAACCAAAAAAACATACAGTTAAGACAAATTGCCGATAAAAAGAATAATGGCATTTCATTTTTTTATACTGACTTCATCAGCTCTAATATTAGCTCGCCTTAGCGGGCTCGCTTGATATTCTTGCTGATAAAGTCAGTATCAAAAACAAAAATGCCATTATTCTATATGTATACTCTGTTAATGAAATTAATACATACCAGGTTAGGTTGCGGGGCAGGTAAAGTTGTCACCTGGACATTAACTTGTGACAAGCTTGGTGGAGATCCAAGGGATTGGCTACCAGATTCTGGACTGTATGGTGAACACTGAACATAAAAAGAAATAATTATATTTATAAATGTTATACAAGCAATTCAACTGATTAACATGATTAAGAAGAATTCATATTTTTTAAAACAAGTACATTCAAACCAATTCATTAAAGGTGTGTATTTTGTGACTGGTTACAAATCTGAAACCATCATTCTTTTGTACATTTTACCATGTTAGTAAGTTATTGAACTTAGAAAGGGAAATTGATCATGGCTTCATTTTTAAAAATATGCAACATACAATGTGCAGTGATCTTCATATACAATTTTCCTGAATATCGGTTAGTTAAAATTGCACTGGGATACATGTAGGTTACGCAAAAATAAAAACTTGCATTTCAAATTTGAATGGCATAATTTGTATGAAGTATTTCCAGAAATCACAATTATAAATCTAGCATTTGTGTCCATTGTCCAAAAATCACAATAAACAAGCATTCTGAGAGTATTACTGGTCAAAAATTCATTGTACTGGAACAAAAAGCTAACTTGATTTATAACTTGTTATGTTGTAAACTATATAACAAATATCAAGTCAATATCTTCAAGCATGACGAAAAAAAAGTGGAAAATTGATTATTTGAGTGAATGTTCTAAGTCCAAGGACCATAACTCTGCACAAAATCATCAGACTGGAACAAAATTCAAACTTGATCTGTAACTTGTCAAGATAAAACAATACACCAGATATCAAATCAATATCTTCAAGCATGAAGAATAAAAGTGTGGAAAACTGATTTGCCGGTCTCACGGATGGACAGACAGACAGACAAAGTGCAAACCTAAAGTCCCCTCCAAGTTTGTCGGTAGGGGACTAAAAATGCATGCAAAAATTTCTGAATTTACAGTACCTATTTTTCCTGAACTCATATTTTTTAACTTACCCGATCTGTGATTATGAATTTTCTCTTTTTATGTCTGGCAGGAAGTGGATCATCTGGTGGATTACTGTCTATTGCCCAGTATGATCCCTGTAATTAAATGTTTCAGTTAGTATAATTAAATATTTTATTCATTAAGCAAGGATCTCCATATGGAGGAAACTTCAATCAAAATGAAAACTTATTGGAGGAGTTCAAAATTATTCATTCATCAAATTTTGGTGTAATGGATAATGAATTTAATAATACTGTTTAAAATATACATTTTACTATAGAATAATTGGCTGTCCTGTTAAAAAGAAAGTTTTTTCCAGGCATTGGAGTCTCTGGAATTGTACCATCAACTAATTGTTCAACACCCTCCATGACTATGCTCCTGGCCTTGGTTTTTACTATTTTGACTACACAGAATCCCTCTTAAAATACACTGTGAAACCAATGGTTGGAAATTACACATTATTTCTGTTTTCTTTTTTTGAGGGATTGAGATATTTTGTAATTCTTTTTCAAACTGTCAAAGGAGTATGATATTTAGCCTTAACTAGCTTACCTTTCCTGGATCTTCTTTTGATCTTGGCACTTTTAAAAAGCACTTATTCAGAGACAAATTATGTCTTATGGAATTCTGAAAGTAAAATAAGAAATAATTTTAATACTCATGCATCTACGGTAATAATTGATTGGTTTTTTTTATTAATGTCCAGTGGCAAATCATTCTTTCAATTATAACTTTTTATAAACATTTGTATTATGTGTTGATTAATATTTAGTTTTCTGTTTGGATTTTTTTTATCTGTTGTTTTGTCTTTTCATCTTTTTTCTTTTGACCATGGTGTTATCGGCTTTTTCTTACTATATATACTTGTGGGTTTTGATTTACTATTAAGTTTTATCTGCCCTTATCATGCTTATTGAAGATTTGCTTTACTTTATATGCAAAACATATTCTAAATTACCAACTGTGAGTGATTTCAAATAGTACTAGCAATCAGTTTTCATGAATGTCACGTAAAACTGCAAGTGATGAATCTTTGCAAATATTATAGATTTTTGTTCTATAACTTTACTGTTGCAGGCCTAGGAAATCTGTAAGATTTTTATCTAGCTAGTGAAAGTCAATTGTCAAAATTGGGAAAAAGAAGTCCGATCTGAAATTGATGAGTACATGTATTACTCATCTAGGTTAGTTGAAATATCCTTATGTCACACATATCAAAAAATATTTTAATGATTATTAACTATAATGTACAATGTACACGTATACCCTATATCATGTATATACAAATGTACATGAAATGTGTACACTTTTTTTTATTTCATCTACATGTGTTATCTATCTTGTTTTATACAATTCGATAGGTTAATTAAAGAAAGGACAGATGGAGCTGTGTGCTATTATAGCTTGAAAACTTAATTCTATTAAATTCTGTTGACGAAAATGACAAAATAATACAGGTTAATTAGAACCAATCCCTTCAGATTAAAAGATACAAATGTACACATACAACATGTGTAATTACATCCTGTTTTTATTGCTACTCTGTTTAATAATTTATAGAAATAGTAGATGGTTATTTCCCATGTGAAATAAATAATTATTTAATTTCTTTTGAAAATTACAGATCAATAAATCAATGTTTACATACGCTAAACTGCAAGTATGGCTCTTTTCTCCACTGATTTATAACTCCTTACAAAGTGATTTTTTTAATTACTGTTTGCAATTGTGGTAATTAGACAGAGTGATGGCATGGGATTTAGACTCAATGTTGATTCATGAACATGCAGTGATTGTTTTACTCAATATGTACATATAACAAGATTGAAGAATTATATGTCCATAGGGCACTATATCCTGCTCAAAATATCACATTTCTATGTTTAGTGAACAGCTTCAAAAATCTGGATATAAACCTCAACTTTGCATATATTAAATTTTAATAAATGGGGAACGTGTCCATGGGACAAAGATGATGCCCCCGCTTGCATATAATGTTATAAAGGGACATAACTCAAGAGTAGTAAAAGTGACACTACCCAAATTCGTACTTGATCTGAGTTTTGTGGTAATACATTTGTAAGCATTGTGTTTAAGTTTCATAACATTTGGTTGAGACAAACTTAAGTTAGAGAACGGAAACGAAAAATTCAGCAATTTTTCCATTTGTAAAGGGCATAACTCTAGAACGATAAATGATGCCACCAAAATTCAAACTTGATCTGTGTTTTGTGGTAATAAGCATTATGTATAAGATACATAACATTTGGTTGAGGCAAACTAAAGTTTGAGAACGGAAACCAATTTCGAGATGTACGGACGTACGTACAGACGACAAGGGTAAAACTTAATGCCCCCTACGCTACGGCGGGGGCATAAAAAGTACATATTGCTATGAAAATTTTGACTTAGTTTGAACCTGATGTGACCACAACTTCATAATTTGTAAACAACCTTAATCAAAAATGTTAACCTTATGAAGTTCAGACAGACAAATAACTGACAGATGAAGAGACAAGAAATATAATGCCAATAACTACATGCTGCTGTAGGAGGGGCATAAAAGTAGATATAAACGAGGGTGTCAAGGAAAAACAAGAGTGATTAACATGATTAATCTGTTAATTGAACTGTCTGCAAATGCTATCAAAGAGTTTCATAGCAAATGATGTGAGCAGATGATACTGTTTCATGGCAAATGTTGGTTTATCATGTTTATACCAATTTTCCTTGTCCTAATGCACTGGAACACAGTGTTCATGAAATGATCTTGAAAAAAATTGAGAATGGAAACAGGGAATGTGTCAAAGAGACAACAACCCAACCACAGAGCAGAAAACAGCCCAAGTTCACCAATGGGTCTTCAACACAGCTAGTATTTATTCTACCTTACACACTAGTTTATGTTTTCATTAATTCAATTCATGAAATTGCAGCTTGCCTCATAGGATGCTGACAGTGCATGCAGTTTGATATCCTTCATACCAAAAACTGATAATTGGCCTGAAACACCTGTTTGCAGTTTGAAAACTCTCAAAAAATAGGGGTACACTTCTGCTTTTCAAACTCTACAGAGATGATTGTACGAGTTGAATCCTTTGACTTAACCATACATGTATGTGAAAATGAAAAATAAGCACCAGAACTAAGAACAGACAACTAATAGTTTTCCAGAGGTATGGCAATTAAGCTGCATAAAACTGTATCTACTCAACATGATGAATTGTTTGTAAAAATATCCTTTTCCATGTATTGATTTGTTAATGGAAACTTATCCTTTCCATGAACTGAATGAAAATGCATCCTTTTTTCAATGGATTGATTGGAAACATACACTTTTGATGAAATTAATTTTCTTTGTCGTAAAGATGTTTTTAGGATTTGACTTTAAACCATTTTCATCAGAAGTCATGATCTTGTTTGTCTATTTTCTCTTCATATTTTGTCTATAGTTTAATTTTTATAATTAGTCATTGCATGTACATGTAAATATGAATTATCATTATCATGTAGTTCAAACAGTGAGCACTTGCTTTACATTGAATGCATTTACCATGTTTACACATTCAATGTTTTCTTTCTATCTCGTCTCATATAAACCGACTCAGTTAGTATACACATGTACATGTAGGACTTACTGTAAAAATCAAACTGGTGTTGCAAGGAAAAAAAATTTATGATTTATTCTCAATGATCTTGAAATTCTTAGTTAATCATCGTCATAACCATGTGCTTCATGTATATCAATAATCAAAGACCAATTTCCTAATAGACAAAATTAAGCTATGTTTTTTTCAGCGGAACATGTGTTTCCTCTTTAATTTTATAACTTCTTATTAGAAAATGTTTTCCCAAAAATAAAATTAATGACTGTAATCATTTTCAATTGGAAAAATTCCTTTAAGTCCATGAGTTGTTGATGTGCTTCTAATTTGTGAGTATAAATTTAAAGTTAATCATGTTAATAGCTTCCCACCAAATTGCAAAAATGTAGCAAGTGCTAAATATAATATAATATAAAAAGAGAGATTACTCCAAGAAAACATTGCTTTAATTCACATCATGGACTCTGTTGGATAGTTGTTTTATTGGCACCCATACCACCTGACCACAATGCTATATGACTGCCCTAGTGTTACATTGTACTTTCCTTCTTTGACTTTGCAATGTATGTTTTTATTGCCATTCCCCTCAGTATTTTCTTTCTCTTTTATGATGCAGTAACATGTATCAATAATTTTGGCCATATCTTACATATTGAATTAAGAAATGAATCCAACACACAGCACAGACACCTTAATATTATGGAAAAGTCGACCATCATTTATTATAGCCTACAACTCAATCTACACCTTCAAGAAATAGTTGCAGAAGACAATGTTGTGTCAAGAACTGATTGCAATATTTTAATTTTTCATACTGGTATTTATCTGGACTATAAATAAATTTTTGTACATGGTTTGATTTGATTTTGATTTTTGGTGTTTTAACGCCACTTTTAATCACCCCTTTTGGGCTATTTCATGGCGGCTAGTTAATATTGGTGGAGGAAGCTGGAGTGCCCGGAGAAAACCACCGACCTTCGATAGGAAAACTGACAATCCTAGTCAATTAAGATTGGAGTCGAGTGCACCCGCACGAGTGGGGTTCGAACTCACAACCTCAGTGTTGACTGGCTAGTGATTACAGTAGTAACTACTTAGACCACTCGGCCACCAAGACCCCTGTACATGGTTTGCCTGGCATCACTATGTACATTGTACTTTAAATTGGGTTAAATACACACCTTATCGCTTCAAACATTGTCAAAATATACATGTGAGATTTGTCTGCAATAACAGAAATTCCAGTAAAATTTGACCTCATAATAATGATGCCACAAAGCAAAAGCAATTGTTGTATGACATCAATGGTAGAAGTGTCACAGTTTGCCAAATACTGATAATGTCTATTCTGCATAGAGAGGTACATGTACATGTCGCTGAAATGCATTTTATCTTTAAAGCCATGAAGTGATTTATGAAACATGTAGTCTGGCTAGATAATCTCATGTCAAAATTCAAAAGTAAATGTTCCAAGCTTTCAGATTGATCCAACTTCACTTAAAAAAAGTGGACATTACATTTTGTAACCAGATACATTGTACATGTACATGTATGGCTGGGTAAAACTAAAAGAAAGTAGTTTGTTATAATACATGATATTTACAAAACATACATAACATTGAGGATTGTGGATGTTTCTTAACAAATCAATGTACAAAAGACATGAAAGAATTATTACAAAGTAACAGTTCTAAATTTTGACATTTTATATTTTCATAATCAGCATGTATAATAGTATATGTAAAGCCAAAGCCATACCTTCCAACCATTTCCTGCATCTTTATAGTATGGGAAATGGTCACATATCCATTGGTAAATTTCACTAAGTGTCATTTTCTTTTTATGAGAACTGTTTATGGCAAATGTTATTAAATTAGCATAACTATAAGGTGGCTTTCCGTCTCTGTGACTTGTTGCATCGTTCTGATCAAGTGTTGCAGTTGTGTCTAAAGGCGAATTAGGAGCCTTCCGTAAGGCAATATTACCACCTTGTGTTTTAGTTAAAGGTCCATTTGACACACCGTCTTTACCCACAACACCAGCCATAGCCCCGCCGACGGTTAAACGGGGTAGCCAGTCCATTGCTGTGAGAGAGCTTTCTAAGTCCGCCATTTTAGATTTCATTAATTAACCGTATCACATCATTCGACAAGCGTATGAATATATTCGATTGTAAACAATTAACATTTAAACTGAATTAACCAATATCACATTTAAATGATTGCAGTTTTGAAACAAGTATTCTGAATATAATCTAAGTTTTAAACATTCTTCTTAAATAGCCAGAATAAAGAAATTACTTTTTTTAGGGGGCGGAATAAGTAGACGAATCACTGTCGGAAATGCTTTTGGCCCCCAACGAAGTCGCATAGCAGCGTAAACATTGCTGCGTAAGTCCTCTTGACTTTTCTGTACACCGAGGAAAACACACGAGAATAACTTTCCCGGGAAATTTGGCAGGTGCCCGAAATGTTCAATTTCGCAACGATATGTGTGGGAGTGGAAAACCCCATTAAAAACGAAAGAACTATACGCTTATTTATGAATGAAAATATGTGTCAGGAAAAATAAAAGACGTAAATGTCCCTGGCTAAATCAAATTTAACCGTTGGCTGACTGGGAAAGGATTTGTAAGTAAGAATCCGGCTTAATATACAGATAGGATCTTACTATACAAATCCTTCTCTGAGATAACTTCAAATATAAAATTCAGATTTAACATTCAAAGCCTGTCAAATGATAACTTGATGACTGTTATAACCAAATGTCCGCCTACATTTTTCAAGTTACTTTATTTTTTTTTCGCCTGCCGCTTTATTGCAGCCTCACGGTATAAATAAAGAGGTGGAAGATAATCGTAACTCGTTTAAAGCCGAAGTGGGACGATGCAATCCTGGCAAAAACAAAAAAAGGGGAAAAGAAATACAGGAGTTGACAGAACACTTCACACTGAATAAAAACTAAAGACAGAGACACACAAATACCACCAAAACTGCGTTTTCAATAAACTTATAATAAATGTTTAAGAACTGTTACCTTTTTAATTGGCGCTTTATAGGCATGCAACACATATATGTATATATAAAAATGCAGTCCACATCTTAAAAGCGAATGATATGGCTACAACCAGTTCACAAGATAGTCCACTTATAATATTGTTTCAACAATCTTCTGATATACTTTGAGATATAAGAATTACTAACTGAGTTGTAAAAAATTACAACAAAAATGTATGTAAATGTACACAGATTGTGGTATATTTTTTTCAATAATTTGGATAATGTTGAAATAAGGCTACACAACATGCAAACGTAACAGAAATATAACTAGTTTGTTTAATTATGTATTACTGATAGGATCAATATTTGGACATTATTTCACTTTTTAGAAATATTGTAACCTTATATTTTTATTACATGTACATAAAAAAGAAAAGGGTTATTCACTGTCAAATGTCCGGCTCAATACTTGTATTCTATGTCTTTTCGTTTCATTTTTTTCAATACGAGATCATGAACCGTTTTATCATTGAATATCATTTATCATTTTAAATGTACCCTTTGTATCTCCCTTCTCTTATCAGTTAACGATTGATAACTTAATTTAGTTAATACTTTGTTTAATTATGTTCTAAATGTTTTACTAGTCAAAAAGATTGTTTCCTAATTGTTTTAATCGTCCTAACCACGCATGAAATATATGCCACTGGACGTAAAGCAAACACCAATCAATCAATTATTGTTTTCAACTTTATTCCATAGATCATGATGGTTCATTTGTTTTCAGTAAATAAGTAAATTTGAAGAATAATACTTTATTATTTTTATTATTTTAATGCTTTTAATGATTTCATTTGTCTTTCTTTTCTTAGTTATTTTGACCACTTAAATTTGTTTGTGTTAATGTATATCGTTTGTATGTTCCATCATCGTGTAGGTTGCTTTTTTTGGTAAGGCACTGTGCATCATGTACAAATGATTAATACCCATGACGGAATCTTAGTCGAATCCCATGGTAATTGTTACACTTCTGACTCAACTATTTACTATACTCTATTTTTCGTTCCTAGCAATTGACCTGCGAAATTTTGAAATTACATTTTCAAGAAAACTTTGATCAAAAGAGGCTAAAAGGTCACAATAGGAATTGTCTGATATTGGATACTAAAACTCCACAAAAACCCTTATTTAGAAATATACATGACATATCAGACTCTTATCTATAGATGATGTTCTAGATATGCCACCTTTCTAAAATATTTATTACTATTCCCAGTACTGTTAAAGACGGCCTTCAAAAACGCTGTAATGGGATAAACTAGACCAGGTCAGGTCTACCATTCTTTAAAATTCCAATGGTCTATATTCCAAAATCTCCAAACACAATACAAATTTTCAATAATATAAACATTTTGTTCCGCCCTTTGTCATCCCGGGACCTTTTATAGCTTTCCCTACAGTATGGGTTTTGCTTGTTGTTGAAGACTGTGCGGTGACCTCATTAATTGTTCACAATCTTTGGTCTTACTGGATAGTTGTCTAATTGACAGTTATAACCACATATCCTACTTATATATATAATGTAATCGAAGAATTTTTTAAGCAAAGCAGAAAGTATGATAAGATATTTTTCTCCTTTAGTTTGAATAAAAAACCGTCTTTTTTATCAAATAACAGCCTCAAGATGTTCGTCAGTTATAAGTATGACATTGTATAGTTATAATTTGCCTTAAAGCATTCGTTTTAAATTTAACAAAAATCTAAAAAAAAAAAAAGAAGATCTGCAAAAATAGCCAAGTCAGAAATATGACAGTTGTTATCCATTCGTTTGATGTGTTTTAGCTTTTGATTTTGTCATTTGATTAGGGACTTTCCTTTTTGAATTTTCCTCGGAGTTCAGTATTTTTGTGAGTTTACTGTTTAAGATCTTGTCATATGCATTTAGATATAAGCCAAGGTTTTAATCCTAAATATATTTTGCTACACGTTGTTTTATACAAAGAAGTTAATGAGGGTACACTAATTTTTTTTTCTGCCAAAATATCTGTGTAAAATGTCCACTTTCGGTCACAAACGTCACGTTTCGACATTTTAATGACATCCGATAATGTTTTATGTAAAAAAAGTGCCAAGATTACATCAGTCCATTCATTTAGCAATACCATAAACATAATTTTTAAGGGTCGGAGGTTTTATTAAAATTGGCGATTTCACAGGCCAAATAATTGCTTCCCTCTCTTCACTAAAGTATATCGTATCTATGCTATTTGACGTTTTAACAAATTAAGCTTCTCATTGTTGATATTATTGTGGCAGTGACAGTTATTTAAATTTCAAAGGAAAATGGTTACTCTAAATTAACCCAAAACTTATGTATAAACTCATCAAAGTGACCAGGCAAGTAATTTGGTACGCCAGACGTGACCAGGCAAGTAATATGGTACGCCAGACGGGCGTTTCGTCTACCTAAGAATCATTGACCACGTGTCGCTCGAATCAAAACAGTTTGAAAGCCAAATCAAAAACAAAGTTGAAGAAAATTGATAACCAAATATTCCGAATAGATGTGGTAAATTCGGTGAAGGCAATCTATCATGTGACCTGTGGTAGAAACGCCTTAGTGTTTTGAATATTTCAATATTTACAGAAAATGAAAATACCAATGATATTTAATGTCAGCACAAAAGTGCAAATTGCTTACCACTAGGCTGGTGATACCCTTGGGGAGGTAAACCCCAACAGCAAAGATATCGACCTAGTGGTTGAATATTTTTCACCAAAACGTGTAGACAGGCCTCAGTGAGACAGGCTTTCAAGACATAAACACTAAATTTATTGTCGCATGATGAATCCTAAACTACTTTACTTTTTAGAATATTTTACTATATAAATTTCAATCATATCGGAAATAAGTTATTACCTCAAATAAAGCCAGTATTGTATGTCCTTAGTCATAAAAGACTATAATTGAATTGCATGTCATTTTTAATTCAATTTCTTTAATTTGTCATACTAGTGACACAAACGCGAATGAGTTCAATCAATAAAAAGCGTATGAAAATGAGAGTTACATAAGGCCACATCGAATTAATGTGTTGTTCGTCTTGCATTTCCTTCTAAACATGAAATGGAGCGGGATATTTGTTTATTTAAAATTTTGTATGAAAAACGATATTTTTTATTTGTTTGATTAAAATCAACATGTAAAATATCAATAATACAACAAAATATATATGTCAAATATAACACGCCATATTTTAAGTTATGTATACTTACTAGTTTTTATTTCCATCTATTGATTTGAGATCACGGTCATAGATACAAAAACATTGTAATAATGTTTTCAAAAATCCCCTTAGGGAAACTTAATCAGCATTCCCAATTTTATAAAGCACAACTAGTTAACAAGGTGTTTTTATTTATTTTTTTATTTTTGCCAATTTGCCAAGGGTACATACTAACAATTCAAAGAACTGCCGATTTAGGTTTTTCCCCAAGCAAGTGTTGTATTTAAATGCATTTATTTTGTAAATACTATCATTCAACCTTGACATTCATTCAAAATTGTTTATATTCAAATACTGTGATTTCTAAATATAGGGGTCTGCAATTTTTATTATGAATAACGAGAACAAATAATTATAAAGAGATTGATTTCTATTTAGACAGTTTCTTGCTCAGTTTTCTATAAATTTTGAAAAAAAACCAACAAAACGTCAAAAAAGCGTACATGCTAACAAAAAAGTCTACAAATTTGAAGATGATATAGCAGTTGTATTGTTACAATGAATCTAGAAATCAGAAGAACTAAGGTTTCAACGTCCTCAGGCAAAGTTGACCTTAGATGGCTATTGTTTTTAGGGATTTTTGGTCATATAGCGCTTCGCCTGTTTCGGTTCTTCTACATCCTTAGGTAACGTGTAATGTATCATAATGAGGTATGTTGATAATTAAGATTTTCAAAACGGACAAAATATTACAAAAAAATGTGACATTTTATCAAAAGCTAACAAATATTTATCATAATTAAAATATTTATAAATTTCAGACAAAAAAAAAAGAAATTCATGACACCATTACTTTGAGAAAGCCCCTTTTCAAATCGAATATTGAAACTAAACTCATCTATGAATCAAATAGTTTTACGAAAG